GCAGCGTCAACACACATTTTGCCAGCTAACAGCGTTTTGCCAACACCACTGCAGCGGTTTGTTGGTGCGCGTTTGAACTGAAAAGTAATAAAATTGCGCTGCAAAATACTCACGAGACGTTAGCGCGCGGTGCGCCCGGCGCTATGAAGTGCAAAAAGCCACGACGCGCACTTCACAACCGACAGCCGACAGTGTGCGCGTCGGCAGTTATCAGCTTGATGCCGTTGAATTAGAGCTCTCTGCGTTGCTCCATACAATTGCAAATTCTTCTGCTACATACTTGCTGGTGGATGCACTTATCTGCCGGCCCACCATATTATGGCGGCATCACTCACACAAACACATGCGCGCGCTGAACATTGGCGGTGTCAATGATGTCATTGCGTGTTGTTAGGAAGCGTGGTTTTATTAACATTATCGCTCTCAAAATATTAAATTTGCAGCGCGCATTAACTGATGGTTGCCGCCTATTGCCATTGATGAATGAGCAGGTTATCACCACTTGTGTAATTAATAATTTTTGTTTATATCGCAACACGTGGTTGCAAACAGGCTAACTCTATGTCACATGATTGCATGGAAAACACAATTAATCACATTAGTTCTTAATTTAAGTTTTCTCAAAGAGCAAATAAATGCTACTTGAAACTAACTATTAATGCCGTATTATTAATTATTATTTATGTATTGTACATTGATTTATTTCTTTTTATAACTTGTTATTACAAATTTGAAATTTAAAGTTAAATACTTATTCAGACCAGGGTTTTTAAAATATATATGTGTATCAAAATCATTATTCAATTGGTAGAATAGTGCGGAAAATATATCCCTATATAATCCCCTGGGTGTCAACTGAAACACGTAAATGCATTTTTTAAATCACTGTAGTTTCCTTGTAATATGATAGAGTAAACTACGTAAGATTCTATCTTTTCACTGCAGCTTTTTTATATACAACTCTCATTGCTAGTTTTTTCGGTGAAGCTAAAAAGATAAAGTACTTTATTAGGAAGTAGTATGTAGATTTAAATACCGCTCTTTTTATTTCAAATAGCACGAGTTTCTGGAATCATCATTGCCAGTCGCAGCCCTCTTGAAAAAGGTGATTCCAAAAATTGGTTCCGCAACCGCCATTTAGTACCAAAATGATATTATAAAAATATTTTTATACACTCAAATATATGTTGTGTTCTGAAGGAAAAAATTATGATTTATTTTTACTTACTAACAGAATAAATTGACACAGTTATGCAATTGCTGTGAGCTCTAAATAGGCCTAACACATTACATAAGCTATTTACGTAAGTACTAACAAAACTAAGTGAGATTATGCATGATTATATAGCCATGACGATAAAGTACACTGAAGTACTGTAAAACTCGTAGTAGTGAGTTCTCTTTTTTAATTGTAACACATACATTTATAATAAATATGCAATAATGTTTAGTAATGGCTTGTTATATAAAAAAAATTTTACAATACTATTATAAATATTTATTAGGTCCATATAACGGGTTCCAACTCAATTGCATTTTAAAAGAACTACAGTTGTAGTGTTGTCAAACTGAATTGCTTCAAATTCAATTCAACCGAGTGGAGTTGAAAACCGTAATAGGGATGTAAGACTTTCGATAATTGAAAAACTCGAAGAAAAACGTTTTATTATTAATTTTTTAAGTACAATATTTATTCATTAATTAACTAATATTTGTTTATAAAATAATCTTTTTTTCATAAAATATTGTACTTCATACTGATAACAGCTGTTTGTAGCAGAACAATCAACACGGCGTATAAGTAACGTATGAATAAATAAAAAGAAATTAAAATGAATTAACATAAACTAAAACAAGATATTAATTTTAATTTTTTGATTAATTCAACTTCACACTTAGTAAAAAAAAATTCAAATTATGATTTAAAGAATGAAATTCGTTTAAAAGTATGATTGTTAAATTATATGTAAACAGTTATCAGGGTTGCAAATAAGGCATAAAATAATAACTGAATTAACATTGGAATACATTTTTTTTTCTTTATTTTGTTATCTCGAAATTCTTAATTACAAATATCTTTTAAATTTTTAATCCCAAATACGGGACCAAGAAACAAATAAAATTTAATTTCAAAAACCGGATCCCAAAACCATATTGAAAATAATAAAAATTTAATCCTAAGCAAATACATAATTAATACTTATAAACGAAATTGTTTCAGAATTAACTCTTTTTCGCGCTTGAGTTTAAAAATTAAAATATCAATTTTTACTATTAAATTAAAAAAAAACGACATTTCAATGTTTAATTCCAAACATCTTCGATTAAAAATTAGATTTTCAAAATCGGAATTAAAAACTGAAAATTTTATTTTTAATCCAAGATGTCGGGAATTAACAAATTGACTGTTATATGTTTCTATATATATCTCCATCTCTTTAATATAATTTATCAAAACTTATAATTTAACAAAGGCCTTTGAGGTGGCAGAAAACATACTGCTACGAAGTGCAGCCTCTTTCAGGGAGGTGAGCATTTACTCCGAAAGTAGAGCGACAGACTCGCTAACTGTGATCTTTGGCTTAGAGTAAAACGCAGCAGATCTTCTGAACTACCATACTTGCCCTTAGCGAAGATCAAATTGTCGCACTAGAAGGGGTTCTTACTGGACATTGTCCAACAGGCATTTATACAGTAAGGCTAAAAATCTTGACGGAAGCAAGTTATCAAAGTGGTAAGGAGGAAGGTGAGGTAGAAACCTCCAGGAACGTTCTAAGCTGTTCAAGTGAGATTCCTCTTAACCTAACCTAACCTGACAATTAAACTAATGGAAAATGAATGAATGAGAATACATTTCATTCATATCGATGTTAACCTGAAAGTTTTATCACAGGGCTACATTACTGTCATAGGGCAGTATTAAATTTTCTATAAAAAATGCGTCGTAAAAATAAAATAAATATTAAAAAATTAGCAACAATTTCCATACACATAAATCTGCATTTCTTACTAGGTTAGTAGGTTGCGTATTCCCAAATGTGCGCTAGCAAGTAAATGCATATTATAAATAGTGCATTATTGCAGCATTTAGTATATGCCTACTCATGTGCGTATCCATTAGGGTGAAACAAAAAAAATTTTAATTTCCTTTTCGCTTGATACCCTAAAAAATAGGTTCTTAGACACCTCAAAGAAAACCTATAAAATTAGTTAATTTTTAAGTATTTGGAAGAGAAATTCGATTTTTTCTCTCCGATAATAAGAAAAATATAGAAAACTGTAAGGCAGATGATCTTCCTGTTACAACGAAGGGCTCATACTTGGAGAGACTTTCTTAGAGTTGTTTAAGAAGCTATTTTTCAGAGTAGTAAGCAAAAAAAATCTTCGATTTTTTTGACCCACCCTAGTATAAATATATACATACATAGATATATGTACTATACACTAGTACATATATGTATGTATGTACTATAGATATATGTACTATACACTACTACATATATGTATGTATGTATATATAATTGTATGTATTTATGCATATGCCCGAAACCCGTGGATTTTTTATAAAGTGCAATTTGCACTTCTAATCAAACCTAATCAGTAATAAGCGCCTCACAAGTACCTGATGTCCATCTATAATGTGTAATCATAAATATGTATTGTATATAGAATACAGTTATAACATATATTTGAATTACAAATCAAAAGTGTTGCAATAAATTAGATTATGACATCTGCTTCTACGGGAATAATTACAATATAAATATAAATGCTTACGCCTGTGTCCAATTAAGTCATAATGAAAATTGGAATAAAACAATAAAAGAATTTGATAATAAATTTATTGCAAATTGCTTTGTAGTTAATAAAATAATATAAGTTAAAAATTATTAGTGTTTGAGGGGGAGTAGGTTAGATAGGTGATTTCTTGATGAAATAGAAAACAAATAGATCGTAAAAATATTAATTACCTTTTTTACGGCACTTCATAAATTACGTGAAACGCATCCGTCTAAACCAAAATATCCTCTTAAAGTTTACAAATCATATGTAAAACATAGAAAACAATTTATAAAAATACTTGAAAGTTCGTCAATTGTGCTCCAAGCGATGTATAACTTTCGGCCCAATTTTCTTGAAATATTATACAATCATTTCAGACAGAAAAATTAAAAACACTACTCCCCTTTTAATTAAATTTTCGGTACAGAAAGTAACAAAAAAAATTTAAATAAATTTATTCCTACAGCAGACAGGTCTAATCGGAATGTGCCCGAATTTCTATCTAATTTTAGTCTCCAAGAGTAACAGCAACACGATTTTTGTTTCTTACTGTTTTTGCTTCCCCAATAAACTCATTAATTTTCCATGAATAAGCTCAGCTTAAGGGAGGAAACAAGTTTAGATGATTCAAAAAAATCGATTTTTTTATTGCATAAATTGTTATAACAACATTCAAGAATATTTTGCTTATGTTTCAAAACGAAATTGCATTTGGTTCTGATGATATATGGTCGAAGCACACTTTTTTCAACTCGAACGAATCGATCTGAAAATTTGAATGAATATCCTTTATTCAAGTCCGAAAAATATGAACCAATTGTTAAGTAAAATATATTTTTTTATGTAAGAAAGGTAAAAAAAATAATATAAAAACATAACATGTTTGTTCAAACACCTCCAAAACATTTAATTTTCAACTCTTTTGACCAGAGTTTGGTTCATATTCTTAGAAAATATGTTACTAACGAAAAAAAAAAAACGATTAATGACTTCAGATCAAAATTGTGACATCCACTTCTTCCACTTCTGGCGGAAATGGCATCGAAAAATTTAAAAGTGTAGTTCAAAATAGGAGTAAACTTCAGTTTAAACGAATTTTAAGTATTCTTTCTAAGTTTAATCACAAAAAACACTCGAATTTCGGACTCCTAAACTGGTTTCCCTATTATAAGTTTCTACTGGGTTATCTCACACTTCATTATTAAAAAACTTCAATTATTTAAATCAAGTTGATAAATTTCAAAATAAAAAAATTCAAAAATTTCATCGTTAACGGATAATAAAATATTTAAATAAAAAATATTATATAAAGAATGTCAAAATTTTGTGGTGTAATTTCCAAACGCATAAATTCTGAAGAAGTGGAACCACTGCGCTTCAGTCACTTGGAAATGTTAACAAAATGGTTGGCGAGTGAAACTGAATCTCTCCAATCTGATTTCGCCACTAAAAGCGAAGCTGTGCATGATTTACAAAAGCAAGTCATACAGAATGAGCAGAAAGTAACACAATGCTATGAATTATATAAAAAAAAATATTCTAAAATCATACTAAACCGTTGTAGCTTATCGAAATCAACGATATCATGGAAGTGCTCAAAGAAAAAGTGACCGCCACGGAACATGAAGTGGCAGTGAATGACGCGAACATAAGATTGCTTGAGCGCAATATCCAAGCGCTCGAAGATTATGCGAATCGTCCACTAACGGCTGCCGGCATAACCTGCGGCTGTCCAATTATACGTGAGCAACAGGAACAACGCTGTATGCTAAATCTGTTGCAGAATACAGATCACAATATGGCACAGCTTCATCTGTTAATGAATGAGTTTCAGGAATTACAGCCATACGTGCAGCGTATGAGTAGTCCGTATTACACAGTGCGTTGGGCATAAGTTTTTGCTTGCTGTTTTTTTTTTTAGTCGAAAAGTCAATGACAAAATATTTATACTTTAGATTAGCGGCATATTGGATTGTCATGCGAATACTTTGAAGCAAACTGAAAGGAATCTGGATAATTTAGTTGAAAAAATGCATGCGGTTGATGGAATGCTACAACTGGCATTGCGTAAGTGTGGTCCCAAAGTTGTTATCATATTCATAATAATATATTAGTACATATCCACACATTTTCTCATAATTTTATAGTACATCTCGCTGCTTCGCGTCAACAAAGGTCCCACTCTGCGCCGCCAACTTGCTGTAAACCAATTGGTGATGGTCCTGCAAATATGCGAGCTTAAATTCATGTGAAAAAAAATATTTCAAATTTGTTATAAAATATTTGGCATATGGGGTTAGGTGTAGACACTTTAAATAATTTTTTTTTGCCAATAAAAAGTAAAACCCTACTATCATTAAATAAGGTTTCGGCTTGACTCGACAGATATTTGAAAAACAAATTTTTTTTTGAAGTAATGACTGTTCGAGTGATTTAATTCCAACCATAACCGTTGGAGATTCATCTGAAATAAATCGGACAAATAAAAATAGTTTTATTAGTAGATAGTCTATTGCCTGATCCAAGTTTCGTTTCTTTTTTTTTAATTAACGAAACGACGCCCTTAACGGAAAGAAGCAACAATTAATTGTTTATAACAAAATCCAAATTAAAAAATCTTTCGATCAGGCAGTAATTTTTCATTGAAATGTTCCGACCGGTTTTCGAAATACAGGGGTCACCAGTTCAAAAAACAAAGTTTTGAGAAAAACGTCTTTGAAGTTTAGCATTTATGTTCTAAAGCGCCCGAGAACTTTTTGAAAATTCTAACTACTCCTAACCCCTTATGATAATATGCAAATACTTAGACCAGCGCAGTACTCCAACTAGGTTTTTGATATATAATGAAATTTCTTTTCAAAAATTTCCAGTAAATCATCCACATTAAAAATTACAGTCCCTACCAACTAAAAATACAGTTAGCAAGCATTAAGCAGAGTTATATTGCTTCAGCATTTCAAACAACACTTTCCACTGTTCCAATAAATTTATTATGTAATAAAAAACTAGCGAATTGATGATTTCTCTTAACCATTATGGTGTGAAGATGTTTAATTGTATGAACTTCTATTACTAGGTGAAAGTTTTTTTGATTTTCGACACTTTAACTTTTACTTAGCATAAGTAACATTTACATAAGAAATAATGCGTATAAATGCTTAAAAATTAGTTAAACAAATTGGTTACGCGTGATCACGAATCGGTACGGAAGAAGATTACATCATCAGCAATTATGCTGGTAGTGGTCTTTTGATTACCTTGCTGATCGATAATTTCACCATATGTGATTTTTCCTTGCACCATGGTGCGTTGACCTTTTTTCAGATGTTCCATAACTGTCTCGCGCAAATTTGGCTTAAAAACTATAACACGATGCCAGTCGGTACGTTGAGCCCAGTCGCCACTCTCATATCTGCAAGGAATCAAAAGAGAATTTTAAGTAGATAATACAAAATATATGTGTTAAAATACTTTCAAATCTAATAATTTATATGCAAACAATTGTATAAGCTCTGCAATGTATAGTTTGTATCAACTAAAATGTAAATAACCTGTAATTAGTATGCGTTGCAACCGAAAACATAACAACCGGGTGCTCGACGGAACCGCGCAATTGTGGATCTGCACCAACACGCCCCAGTATGGTGACATTATTGACAGCTGAAATGAAATGCAGTTACTATTTTATTGTTTCAACAATTATTTAATCAAAAAGCCATACTTTTTTCGACACGAGCCGGCGCTGCTTCATTGGAGCTGCAACGTGCTACTTGCCTCAACGCCATGCGTAGCGGTGATAATAACTAATAAGAATAAAAACTTCGATTATTATTTTTTGAAAGCTATCAAATTGCCTTTTTACTTACCGTACGCGCACTTTGGGAGATCATTTTTATTTACAATAATTAAAACCTTATAAAAAAAAACAACTCGTATCAAAATATAAATCTCGAATGAATTGGAATTGCGCCGGTAAACAGCTGTTTAACAATGGCTGGCGCTATAGTGGCGACATCTGTCATTAAAACTGAAAACTGGCAACCTTTACGCCAGCAGATGTGGCAACGGTAAGCAATCGCAAAGTTTTAAAGCGGAACTGGAACGTTATTAAGGATTTATAAGTAATTAATTGATGTGTAGAAATATATATAATATTGATTTAGTATGCATCAAACAATATTAGACTCTACATTTATAGTGAACACAAAAATATGTTTGCTTTTAGGGCATTACAAAATAATTATAGGAAGTATATTTTATTATGGGTGTAATTACTATAAAGTTACAGGGTAGCACTAATGAAATACAATAATGTGAATTATTCAATTTTTCCACCGCTTTACTAGGTGGACAACTAACCTCAAAAGTAAATTCACTCTTAGATGGCGCTGTGCGATATTTAGTAATTTGTACGAGGCCACTTAAAGCAGAAAACATATTAGAATGTATTTTACGTTCTCTGGTAAAAGTTCCGTTGACAACTTCTCATCCACTTTTCATTAGAAATGTATGCTTTTGTTCAAAAGTTAGAAATTCTTTGTTGGCATTGTAGCCTCTCATTAAGAAGGGCTTAGTAAGAACCCTTAGTATTAATGGAAGTCGAAACTGTCAATCAAAGAAGTTGAATTCATAGTTATGCGCTGGCATTGTTCTTTTAGCGGCATACATTGTTCCGAAAATTTTCTTTGAACGAATATAATTACGCATCCGTACCAAATGTATGTATATACTAAACTCACGTGGGAGCAGTGAAGCTCTATGCTGCCGAAGGTTGTTGTTGTTATTGTAGCGGCGGAATTCTACCGAGTTTACAGTCCTTGGCCGGATAAAATCCGGGTCCGTTCCGGTTACGCAGACTCGACTGTCGTGGGAAAGGATGCTGCTGAAGGTCACAGTTTTCGGTTTCCGAATGCTACTATTGTTCGCTCAGATACTTTTACTTTGCCAGAAAGGCTTTAATATTACCCACGGAGAGTCAAAGCCTCTTAGAAATTTTTTATACATACATATAATTTCGGAGATTTTTTCTTTGGCTTCAAACCCACAACGCAACAATGACAGCCCTGCACTTCTACGTCGTAAATAAAATGAAAATGTTAAATGTTGGCGTATTACGCACAATTTCTTACCCTTGAAATCTATTTCTGTTTCTCTTTATACTTATTTTCTGCGTATGCGATTGTGAACTCGCATCGACAGGCCCTTTTTTCAACATCAGTTTGTATGCATGTGTTTCACTTTTTTCTTTCCACTTTTAGCCGCGTGGTAGTTTTGAGCGGCCGCTTTGCTTACGCCATCAATCATCCCTGAGCTTGCGCTAGAAAACCCCACACCAATTTTTATATAATATTAGCTAAAATGGTACGGGAGCGGTTCAGAAAAACTCAGGCGCGTTGTCTCTTCGACTATGATACTTTTTTATTGCTTATATGGATTTTTCAAAATCTTTTCAAGCTCTTTGAAAGATGAAAGAGTGGAGGGTGTTAGAGTTACTGAGAATGGGAGTATTTCTCATAACTTATCTATATGTTTATTTGAGGTATAGAATCTAGTAATAATCTAGAAACTGTTCATAAGTGTTTACTTTAGCAAAATTCTTTTTCGAACAAATTCTTCTAAAAAAAATTTTTGTTTTGCCTGACAATCTCCATATGTGTTTGTAAGGCTATGGTGATTTGAGGAGGGTGGTTCCTAAAACTCAACTTTTAAACGTTTTGTGAACAAGTTTGAGATGAACAGAGAATTCCATGAATATGGCAGATATCTGCGGGAAACCTATATAAACTGAAAACAATTAGATCCTCTCCCAGTCAAAACGGCATTTCTGAGTAAATGAAATAAAATGTCGACCACCTGTTTCTGCATAATAGTTGAAGCTAAATTACGTTACACAGGCATTCTGAGCACGTACTCAAGTATGCTGGAAATAGAGGAAGTTTCGTTCCAGCATTTTTTTTTTTGGTGCACAATTGGCAGAAATATGCAACGGTTCGTGACGTCATAAACGAAAGAAAGGAAATCCTTCGTTTACAATTACTATGAAAATTTTGATAGCCAGTTCCGTTTATAACGCTGTGTGCCGCAATCTTGTCTCTATGGTTCTTGAATGGCCTATTCATAGAAGAATTTTGAAAAATACTGAACATTTAAATCCTGATTGTACCCCGATAAAATCTCCTAAAAAAAAGTTGTCTTCATCTGTAATTTTGCGTTTTAAATTTTTTTTGCTTGTCAAATTTTGACAATATCGACATGACACATGACAGTTAAAAAAACAGGGTTGCATTTGAAGTTGCTATGCTGCAAAGTGAACTACAAAAGCTGTTACGTATTTCAAAACAAGTTCAAAGCACGAAATCCGCCACCGTTACTCAATTATAAACAACTGCTACACATACATATATACTCGTACGTACAATACATACAGACAATATATACAAACACATTTAAGCTTTCATTCCGTAAGGCAGCTACTTTTCTTATCTTGTGGCGGTTTGTGCCTCGTTTGACGCTTTTGGCGCAGAAGAAGATATGTTGGCAATGACGGCGCTATGACATCTGCTCCAACCAGCTTCCGTTCAGTTTTTTGGCGCTACACTCATTTCCACGAGAATTTAAATAGAAATAGTTCTTTGCTGCATGCATGTATGTATGTATGAAAGAGACGGTTTATGTGGCGGTGTGACAGCAGCTTTCCCAGCTTGCCACTCCAGTACGCTCGAGGCGAATTTATGTGTGCATGTGTTTGCGTGTGTATGTGACTACGTCGCATTGGGAATTGTACTCAAGTCTCAATGCGACGTTCAACTGACATTACAGCTGCCACCGCCACCAATACCAATAGTAATGTAACTGGGCTGCACGTGTAGCACAAAAGTTCGCCATTGCTTTTCGAATGCACAGTGACACAAGCGCTATCATTTTGGTCTAAATTTTGAAAAAGAATTTTTTAACTACCTTTTGCAAACGAAAATCAAGAAAAATTAAAAAATAAGTTTAAAATTTTGCCATAAGCCATAGCTTCCATAGAGGACTAACCTTAGATTTCTACCATAAATAGGTATATCGTACATGTTTACATAAATCTTTTTCTCTTTATTGTTTGTTTGGGCATTGCTCTCATTTATTTTTTTATAAAAGCATTAACAAGGTCATCCGATCAATTGTAATAAACGCGAAGCCTGTTTGTACCTCATTACGTTATTGCATTTTGCCGGGATGTATGATTTATGAAAGTAGTTAGTTCGATTCGTCACTTTTAAAGTTATACTGGGTTTCAGGCCACAAAGGAATTCCGGGAAACAAAATAGCTGATGAGATTGCCAAAATTGTCATGCGATATGTAATGAAATTTTGGAACGAGCTGACTGATGGATCAGGGCGAGATGGAACGCCTTAAGGAGATGCAGGATCGCTAAAATTATGTGCAAGAGCCTCGAAGAAAAACATGCATGTTTTTACTCCAACTGTCTGAAAAGAACTCCAGGACGGTTGTTGGCCTAGTCACAGGTCACAACCTACTGGCATCACATGCGAGGGGGATGGGTATAAGTATACAAGCAGGTAGTATAGGGAAGTAGGCATGAGAGAGACGCTGGAACACCTGCTCTGCTTCAGTCCAGCATTATCTAGATTAGCCTTAGATATCTAGTAGCTTGGTAGTTCAAAGCACTTAACGAAGTATCAAAATTTTATAACAAAGCGTTTATAAAGTTCGCAAAAAGGGTTGACGTCCTGTATGATGAATATTTGATCTCAAATTAAATTGAACCTCCATTTGGCATCACTAAGGGCCAGTAGGGCTCTGTATGGCGTGACAGCCGGCCAGTATAACCTAACCTATCTCTCCTACTTTGTTAACCGGGTAAGTTGAAAACTAAACTTTCGTTATAAACTACCATAAGTCAGATAATAGTTCGGAATGTAGGATCATGCTAAGAAAACACTAATAAAACTTTATTCAGATTGCATCAGTGATTTCTGAAGGAAGTGTACTGTGCTATGGGCGTGGTATAATTTTAGTCAAAATACGGTTAGATGGCTTCAGTCTTAATAACAGTGGAATGGAAATGAGTAGGAGCTCCGTTATCTTCTTGCGGTTCAGTACTGAAATGTTGGGCCTCAGACCAGCTCAGCAAGCGTTGGTGTACTACTAGCAGCAGTGCAGTCGCAAGGTCCTTCTGGCCCAGGGTAAATCGTAAGAAGTTTAGTGAACTTTAAGCTCTCAGCAAAGTCCATTTTTCAATGGTTATAGGAGTTCTAACTGGACACTCACCGATCGTGATTCATGCGGTAAGATTGAATATTTTATTGCACATAACAATCTAACTGTGATCCCCCGCCATGTTGAAGGATCAGGCATATATCATAACCTAACCGTTAGATGGCAGGTGAGCCAATATAAGGTGGGTTTTTTTTTATTCATTTTTCGTTAAGAAATCTAAAAAATCCTACTGTACAAAACGTCATCATTGGCTTCATTGACGTTTTTTTGTGGTCATGGCTGTGCGTAAAAGCGCAAAGCGTATTTACACCACAACCAACCACTCCCTGTGCAACATTTCGGCGCCCTTCAACGCCATCACATTACTCCTCTATACTTGTATGTATTCGTATTTGTCTTCGTCATTTATGCTGAAGTTTCCCATTTTTTCCCTACGGCGCAAGTTTCGTTTCTGCCACTACACATACAACGGCAACGATTTTTTAGGTCAAAGAAAAGTAAAAGTTATCGAAAATTAAAGGAATTCCGTTAAGCAGGCGAAGCAGGAATGCCAAGCATGCGGCGTTTTGTTGGCAAGCTGCGAAGAACTGGCGCGGTGATGACGATTGAGGGCACGAACACGGCAACGAGTACCATATACCGTTAAGGGGTTAAGATGCAGCATCACGGGCGGCAGGATATGCTCGGCTGCCGACAATGTAAGCAGGCGTAGCTTAACGGTGGCAGTTTCCACATAGTCGAACTAATAGGCATCCTTTATTAAGTGTATACGAATGTGCCGTCCAACGCTAGCTACACAATGGCCACGGAGCTTTCTTATCGCTGTTGTTGAAATAAATGGGCAGCCAATTTCAACTTTCGTTTCGCTTTCAACTTCATGCGTTTGGCGGCGTCGCGTCATGTGACTGTGATAAGAGGCAGCCATTTATGCATTCGTATGTGTGTGGGTGTAGGTCCTTTGACATAACGGCACTTATATATGCCCCGCAAGTATGCGCTGGGGTTGGCCGTGGCGTGCTAAATTGGCGAACTGTCGAATGGGTTACGTTACGTGGCCTTGAAATTTCATTCTGATTGCTTTCGCTGCCATGCGAAGGCCATTTAAATATGCCGAAAATGGTATGCGAGTCATACGAGTGAGTACGAGTAGGCATATTGCGTCCTTTGGTCGGCGCTTTGTGTTGTGCCTTTTCCACTGTATTCCTTCGATATATTTGGGTGCAATTACCGACCTTAATTTTCATTTCATTATTGTTTTCATTGCGTGTTCTTGTTTGTTTTTCATAACTTTTTATATGTAACTGTATAGTGGTGATGTGCATGTACATATGTATGCAAGGCTGTACATATGTAAAATATTTGGGCGCCAAAAAGTTTGACCCGGCTTTTCGCCGGCTGTCAGATTGAATCATTATGTGTGTGTGTAATTGTACATATATATATACATACACACACATTTTAATTTTTGATGAATGGCTCTCGTGAAAAATTAGTTTAAGTAGGTCAGTGAAGTGCTGATTTCAGTTGAATCATCAAAGTATACAACAATTTGACGTGTAAGCGTGTTTAGTAAATACCAAGAGAATATTAGATTGTGGGTTCACATGCAAATTAGGTAATGTAGGATTTTAATATTGAATATACTTTCACCGTCGAGGAGTTTTAAATGTTAGTGTAGAATAGTTTGCTGAATTGCGGATTTTTAAAATCGCCCCTAAGACCGAAATCGTCCATAATATTGATGGTATAAACAGATAATGAAAGTAGGACATACATATACATGTATGTATGTATTTATACTGTTTTATGATTGGATTGTGAGATCACAAAAATAGCTAAAGGCGTGGTTTCCGGTAAGGGCATATACCATATAATACATACTGAAGTATATTTAGAAGGTCCCTAGTTCACTAGTTCAAGCTACACATCAATTACTCGAAGATTG